ATCCGCTTGATATTTATATGTAATAACATGTATATGTTAAAGCTTTATCAGGGATCAGGATCACCTAGAGTGTCGTAAAAAATTTGTTTGAATAATTGCACAGTGAATTTAAAAAAGCCACTAATTATTTAAAAATGAATGTGTCATCTAGGAGGTACCATATGTCGAAGTTTTCTTTCCAAAGCCAAAGCTATTGAGTTATTTAATGCTTTTTTGCCTTCTGTGTCATTTCAACTTGGACAGCTTTAAAAGGTTTTATAAATATTGTTATATTTGCATCTTATCCGGCACATGAAATTTAATGTACAAAATAGTGGCATTTTTAAAATCATGCTCTATTAAATTAACTGACACTGTGTTGCCATGTTCTACCTTTTTTGCACAAGCATTTAAATAATTAAGTTCTAATGATTTAAAAAAGCTTTTTTTGAAAATTTGACATAGCATGCTTTACTTGTTTGTTTCTGTTTATTCTGTAAGCCTTGCTTTGATCGTGTCCTAGATCTCTCATGGAGGTATCTTGTGCAGCAGAACTTTAAGTTGATGGGGTTTGGGGATTTTTTTTTGCTGGTTTTTTTTTTTTAGTTTACTTTTTTGATACTTTTTATATTATATTCATAGTACAGATACACAGTGGCATATAAATAAAATATCTGGACATCTGCAAAAATATTTATTACGTTTGTGGCAGTGTTTTCTCTTTTCTGTAAGCTTTTTGCCTCAAGGTAACCATATCTGTCTGTCAGTCTGTCTGTCTGTCTGTCTATTTAGCAGTTAAGAGTCTGTTCTCTCATTTTCCGGAAATTCTCATCTACATGTCATACAAAATATACTTTCTATTTCAAGACTGACATTGGAACACTTGCTCTTTATCGGAATTCCCAGAAATTTTCCCTCAAGCTAGAATATTTTGTTATTCGGGATCGAATTGATAAAAATAAGCATTCTTGGTCTGCTTATTATCACGCTCTTCCTCACACTTTGTGTGTGTGTGTGTGTGTGTGTGTGTGT